TTTAAAAAAAAAAATCCTTAGTTGAAAAATTGAATTTCTCTCTGTTTGTCCCAACTTTTCTCAGAGCTGGAAGAACCTAATCCAACTGACTCCCTCCAACTTGCTTAAAAGAAACTAAAAACAATTACCTTTCAGCATCTTTACCTACACAAGCCCATATTCACAGATCCTAGCCCCTCAGACTTCAGCCTCACCTGCACTGCTTGTCGTTCATATAGGGACATTTGAGCTATCTGGGGCCGAGAGCTGCCCCCTGAGCTGGAACTCCCATTGGTGGAGCTGGAGTTCTGCTCGCTCTCAGTCTCCATGATAGTGTTCCAGGGTCCCCAAGGGTGGTGGTCTGAGCCAAGACCTAGATGGAAGGAGTAAAGGATTAAAATTTACGCCTTGATAATGAACTGTTTTTTTCATGTTATTATTTAAGACCACAGTAAATTCATGTTATCTAAAAATATTTCTTTTAGAGAAAACTCTAAAATTCCCCAATCTACAATACAATCTCAACAGCCCCACCCCACCACCTTTTTAAGCTATTAATTGTCTCAAAGGAAATAATCTTTGCATGCTTGTCATTAAATAAAATCACAAGAAAGCAACATGGTACTCAGAAATGGTAAAGCCACTTAACACCAGCTTCCCACTTTTTAAGTTTAAAATCTCCCCAGACTTGCTGTTGTCTTATTTTTATCTTCACCTACATCATTGTCATCTTAGCAATGGTCATCATTTACAGTAAAGCTTCTAGCTGCCTTCTTTCACTGGGTTAGATGCTTGATCTGTATTATATCTCACGGTGCTATAAAGTAAAATATTATTGTCCCTGTTTTATAATTGTCAATATAAAGTTTTTCTGAGTATCAAATCTTTACATTAGGGGCTGGAGATATGGCTCAAGTAGTAGCACGCTTGCCTAGCATGCATGAGGCACTGGGTTCGATCCTCAGCACCACATAAAAACAAAATAAAGATACTGTGTCCATCTAAAGCTAAAAAATAAATATTTTTTAAAAATCTTTACATTAGTACATATCTTCTTCTAGTCAAAAAATCTGTGATTAAAGCAGTACCATTCACTGAGTATGAGCAATCATTATCCTCATGTCAAGGAGGAGGGCCTGAAGATGTTAAATGGATCATGGAAGGGTATAAAACTTAGAAGCAGAAGAGTTAGCCCTCAGTCTATAAAGCACAAATTGTTACCTGGCTTCAGTCCATACTACTAATAACATCACCTCAAACCATGTCATTTTTCCTCCTTACATACCTCAGTTTCTGGATTTGTAAAGGTTTCACACTGATTGAACTATGTCATCTTTAACAGGTTAAACATTAAATATATAACAATGAAAATCTTCAAAAAAAGTAATATTCACCTTTTAGTTTTTACCAAAGTGTCAGAATTTAGCCTCTCAGAACTACACTAAATTTGCAAAACCCATATGTAAATACTACTGAGAACCAAGCAAAGAGACAGGAAATGAAAAGAAATATTCTTCCAAAGCAGCACTAAATGACAACATGGATTGCTGCTCATTCTTATTTTTCTTCCTCTTTTAAACTTGCACACTTTATTCTCTACTTTTGAGGCACTAAGCCACTAGATATATCAGGTCACCAAAGCACTATTTGGTTTAGGCATGTAAACATCAAACCAGAATTTCTACTAAGGGCTGTCAGCAGTTTTATTATGGCGAACAGATTTATCTTAGAAATTGCATCCAAAACAAACAAACAAGCAAAGAAAATAAAATTAAATTAAACCAGCTGGCCTTGGCAATAAAATTATGATTTTTCTTTACTCCATTCCCAATGTCATCCAATCACATCATTATTCCCCAAGAATACCCATCTCTTCTGTTTCCTTTAGAAACAGCAAATATCACTGCAAACATGGATATAACCCAAAAAGTACAAAGGAGAAATCATATCAGCTTCAACTCCAGTCTACCTTCTCCCCACATCTTTTGCCAAAATATCAAAGCACTAAACAGATACAGACCCATGAATCCTCATTATCAGCATGTGAAG